GAAGGAAGGAAGGAAGGAAGGAAGGAAGGAAGGAAGGAAGGAAGGACGGACTCACAAGCTATCTCCAAGAACAAGAAACGTCACAATCCCAGTTCTGCTCACACAGGTTTACCACTGACATTTTCCCCATTCACTAGTGATCTTCCTCTACACATATTCGCACACAACTTCTGAAGGAACGTCATTCCACGGATTAATTGCTCCCAGCCCACCACGATCTGCCCAGCCCTGTAACCCACAAAGTGCCCGAGTTCCCCAAAACATGGCACCTCCACTGAAGGTATACCGTTAGAGGGTTGTCGGCCGAATCCAAGATGTCCGCCATGATCTGATCAGCGTAGGCCAACCTCTCCTTCAGAGAGTGCTTCTTCCTCAGCCCAGTCAGGTTGACCAGGTGGATCTTCAGCCAATCCAGGCCGCGTGGCCCAAGGGGCTTCCCCTCCGCAAAGAGGAGAATCCCCCGCGTGAAGTCGCCCCCCAGGTGGTTGAAGTGAGGGGGACAGGGGTAGGTCCTCCCGCGGAAATCCAGGTTGTGGGGGAACCAGAAAACCTCGTCTTTCATGTGCTTGGCGATGGACAGCTTATAGAGCATGTCCATCCGCAGACCGTAGGTCTCCCTGGTCTTCTTACGGCATTGGGCCATCCTCCATTTCAGAGCCATCCGGGACATTGGCGCACTCTCGGCCAGCTGCCTGGCCAGCTCTTTGGCCTCCCAAGATGGCGGTGGAGGGACGTCCAATTTCTCATCGCCTTTATCGTTGAAGATGGAAATGATCACGTCCAATACGGGTTGGTTGACTTTCCAAGGGCAGTTGCCCAGAAAGTTCAGCGCATCCAGGACCAAGCAGAGATGGTCATGAGGGCACTCGTCCAAAAGGAGATCGTGCTGGATGACCCCGTCTTGGCATCGCATCAGCTTGACCGGAGAGAGAGTGTAAGCCCCGAAGTGGGAAGAGACCCAGGGCACGGGGGGACACTGCATGGGGAGGACGAAAGAGTCGAAGGTGAGGGTCGTCTCCGAAGCCTCCTGAAGAATCCGGATCAGGAGATAGTGGGGTTTAATGAAACCTATCTGCAAAAGGAAAAGAAAGAGAATATATAATTAATAAATTAATTATAAATTAATATATATATAGCTAAAATATAAATTAATTATAATTAATTATAACTATAATAATTAATTATAATACATTAATTATAAATTAATATATATATAGCTAAGTGTTGTGGCCCAGCAGGAACCGTTGGAGCTGCCACCAGACTCCGACAGCGAGGGGCCCTATGAGTCGGCCCTGGAGGATGTGGAGGACCCTGGAC